GCCGAGCCTGCAGCAGCTCCTGGGCCGGCAGCATGCTGGTGCCCAGCCGGGCCAGCACCTCACCCAGAAACTCACACTCCAGCCGCAGGGCGAAGCAGCCCAGGGCCGCCTGCACCAGCTGGCAGGCTGGGGGCGGGGCCGTCACGGTGAGGCGGTGGTGGTCGCTGCGAACGTAGCCCATCTTGTGGAAGCTCTTGAGCAGGAGGTCCTCTGAGAGTGCACCCTTCAGCACATGCACGTAGCCCCCCGAGAAGGTCTGTGAGGGAGAGCAGGTGGGGGTGGTCAACACCAACCCGCCCCTCAAGCCAAGCAGCAGCCGGCCTGGCTGAGACGGGTCCAGTTCTGGGGCAGGCTCAGGCACCCGCATTTTTAATGTTAAAAACATTCACCTGGCTCATTTTGTAGGCACAGAAAGCCCCTAGTCGCCTGGGTTTCCTACTCCGATCCGTGTGGGGCACACGCCCGGGCAGGGACTGTGCCCGCTGTCTTGCACTGTGTAACGTGTAACATTGGCTGCCCCGACGCTCCAAACTGCAGTGCTGCCTGTTCTCGGAGACCTTTCCCTAGCAGGTCAAGAGTTTGCCTGTTCATTTTTCTCAGCTGTGTAGTGTTCCACTCTGGAGGGAACACGGGTTTTCTAAAGCTCTGCAGGGGCTGTGTGCAGCCAGGCTGAGTGCCCTGGCGTGACAGACAGGAAAGTGCTTTCCAGCCCAGAGTTGAAGGACTGTGTGGGTGATGTCCCTGTGGGCCCCACTCTCTGGGCTCCTGTCACATTCCTCTGCTTAGAGCACTGTCAGACCCTCCGGAGAGTCCCTGTGAGTGCTGTGCTTGGGACCCTGCCGCACCCAGGCCCTGGGACCAGAGCTGTTCTTGTGGCCCTTTCCCAGAAGAGGACACTGCAGCCGGGACATTGGGACAGTGCCCAAAGCCACAAGGTAGGAGGCAGAACCAGTCCCTAGCCAGACGTGGCTACACTGAAGCCCAGCCCTTCGAGGGCAGGCCTGTCTCTTCTGTCGCCTCCAATGGGGCTGGCGGGCCACCTCCCCTTGGGATGAATGAGTCCTAGACCCTCAGCCAGCAGGTGTCTCCGTGCAGCAGCAGGCCCCAGAGCTGCTCCGGAGACCAGGGCTGCCGCTGCCAGGCAACCAGCGGAGGCGGACGCCCACGTGTGCAGTGGCGTCATCGCCTCCCCACTCTTCCGAATTAGCTTGGAGCTCCCGGCCCTACCCCCTCTTGCCAGCCGGCAGCTCGACAGGCCAGGCCTGGGAAGGAGAGCGAGGTCCGAGCCTGGGGATGTGTGCACCTAGGATCTCCCAGCCTCGCCGTACCCCTCTGTGAATGGGGTCAATCCACATCCCGACGTGCTCGACCACGGTCTCAGTCCCTCCTGTGCCCCTGCTCTAGGTTTCCTTGGCAACTACCACCAGGCCACTTTGGAGAAGACGGTTGTCGCAAACTTTAGGGCAGGATGCCCTGGAAGGCAGGCTCTGAAGCTTGCCCACTGTCCGTTTCAGCCTTGGGAGTGTCCCGCGCCCACGACCCCCGACCCCTCAGCACTAAGCCGCGCGAAGCCCACCGGTCCCTGAGGACAGGACACCTGAACCCCTCTCCGCCACGGGCGACCTCCTCCCAGAGCCGACCCCGGCCGGCCTACCTTGATGGTGGCGAACTCCTTCCTCCAGGGCAGCAGGTACAGGTGCACCGCGGCCAGCTCCAGCAGCTCAAAGGCGCGGGCCAGGCCGCGCAGCGCGGGCGCCAGGTCGGCGCGGCCCCACAGGCCGTCGGTGAGCAGCGCCAGCGCGTCGTCCTGCAGCGCGCCGTGCAGGTCGAAGTCCTCCACCAGGATCTGCCAGAGCACGGCGCGCAGCGAGGGGTCCCCGCACACGCCGGCGCGGCCTCGCCGCAGCTCGCGCTCCAGGCACAGGCGGTAGTCCTCGGA